TTTCTATACCCGCTCTTCCCATTCCTCCCTCTCCAATTTCCCTCCCTCATTCCCTGTCCTAGCGTTGAAATCTCCCCTATCATTGGTCTCTCCCCCTCTCCAATCCCTCCATCCATTCCCTCAATTCCTCCATTTTCCTCTCCATATCTTTATTCATATACACCCCCACCACTCTCCAATTATCCCTACCATATTTAATTCTCCCTGTTATCAATCCCTCCACTTCTTTCTCTTTCTCTTCCCTCTGACCAATCAAGTCCTTCTTAATGCCTAACCATGCCTCCCATTGCCCCTCTTTCCTATTTCTCTTCCTTGCTTCTTGTATCCTCCAATCGTATCTTTTCGGTAATTTCTCCTTAATTTTCTCCCACTCTTTCCTTTCTATCCATGTCTCTATTAACACCATCACTTCCCATTCCTCAAGACTTTTCCGAAACCCCCTGTCCTTATTTTTCAAACCAACCACATTCCAAATGCTATCTTCAACCCTCTCTCCATCCTCTTCTCTCTCTCTCCCCTTCCTCTACCCTATTTTCTCTTTATCCTTCCCTCTCCCTTCTACTTTTTTCCGCTCCCCTACACCCTGTTTCTTTTCTTCTTCCTCACCCTCCCTTTTCATCCTCCTCCCGGTTCTGCGACTCACTCCTCCCCTCTTCCCCTGCCCTCAACCTCTCCCTCTTTTTTATATTTTTCCTCAACACTCTTCCCCACCCATCCATTAAACCATCCTCCTCCACCCACTTCCATTTTTTCAGAATGTTCGCGTTGCGAATGATGCGTGGCGGAATTTATCAGACGGGAAGAACAAACGGAACTCGACACAGTCTTATTAATAGCACACAAGAACAACGTTTATTACTGTACAATATTTACAAGAAAAGGGCAAATAAGCCAAAAAAGGGAAAAAAATGAAATCACAAAAAGAATTGAGTCGCTTTAGAAAGGGCCTCGGAAATTGTTCGGCTCCGGCGCGGATGCACGACAGTTACCGATTCGCGTAACACGGGCTTGGCTCGATTGGCTAAAAACGAGTGGCGTCTGACGACCCGGGTTTTTATACCCTGCTTCGCGGCGTCCGCGAGTGACTAATTCCGCCTGGCAACATGATCAAAAATGTTTGTCAGTGACGCGATGGCTCAGCTGATCCGCTCCTCGTTTTGACAACGGTCAGCTGAGACCGGTGACTCAGTACCCGCGTTCCTGTCAGCTGTTTTCCTCGAATTTGGTCTCGTGTTTACGCAAGGTGTTTGTGCGAGCGCGACCGAGAAAAACACCATGCTGCGTGCAGGCCCGAGTGATGTCACGCAACTATTCGTTGTTTTTTTTTCTGCGCCCGATTCTTGCGCCTTTCCGCGAGGCACACCGCGGATTCGCGAACATACTCCCTTAATCCACACTCCCCCCTATCCCAACCGTATCCTTTTTCCTTTCACCTCTTCCTCTCTCGCCAATCGTCTCATTTTCCACCTAATCCTTCTCTCCTTCCATGTCATATCCTTTTCTATCCAGATCTCCTCCCCTTTCAATTTCCCTTTATTCATTAAAATTCTTCTTCTCATGTCCTCACTCCCTAATCTCGCCACTACCATACTTCCTTTCTTCGACTTCCCCGCCTCTATTTTCCTTATTTCTTTCACCTTCACTTTTCCCCCTAACCTCTCTAACACTTCCTCCACTCTTTTCTCTAACTCCACTTCCCCTCCCCTCAATCCTTTCACCAAAATATTCCTCCTTCTGTCTCCCCTCTCCTTCACTTCCCATCTTCTTTCCAGCTCCTTAACCCTTTCTTTCCACTCCGCATTGCCATCCGTTTCCTTTCCGTTCACTATCTTTCTCCTCCATCCTCTCTTTCTTTTCCCTTCTTCACCTTTAATCCCTCCAACTCTCGTTCCATTTTATCTATTCTTGTCTTAAACTCTTCCCTTTCTCTTCTCTAGTTCTCCTCCCTTACCCTAAACTCCTTTCTTATCCTTTCTTAGCTTCTCCTTCTATATCCTCAATCACCTTCCTTATTTCCTTCTTAATCCCTCTCAACTCTTCCCTCATTTCCCCCTTCATCTCCTCCCTCCACTCCCTAAATATCGTACTCATATCCCTCCCTTTATCACCCCCTACGGATGGTGACCTGCTCACTATCCTACTTTTTTTAAATATATCTTCCTCTTCCTTTCCTCCTTCTCCTAACATCTCTCTCTTGTTTTTGTATACTTGCCGATATTACCTGCGCTACTCCACCTCTCTTCACTCCGCAGTTTCCCTATCACACTCTTCCCCTTCGTACAATTCTCTATGCTCCCCGTACTACCACGCCTTTCACTACTCTTCAGATTCCCTACTACACTCTTTATATACCCTATGCCTGTATTGCCGCTCTTCCACTTACTACCTTTCTATCCTCCTCCCGTTCTATGCCGGTGCCCCCGCACGTGCTCTTGCTTACAGCGCCATTCTCTCTCTCCAACTCTCCCTTCCCTCTCCCTCTATCCCGCCTCCTGACCTCATTCTTTCAACCCTTTTCTCCTCCCTTTCCCACCACAAACCCTTCCACTCTTCGCTCCCTCCACTCGTAACCTTTCCCTAGCACTTCACCTCTCTCTCACTTACATGCTACTCTCTCTCTCATCTCTTTCAAACCACTCACACACACTTCACACTCTAAGCTACAAATCTGACCACTCAACTCTAACCGACCGGAAACGGAAGTCCGAATAATTGTTTACATTTTGAATTATATTTTGTTTGGCGCCAGAGGTGTGCCGTGTGCTTATGTTGACCTGTGTCGTTGTGTGATTGATGCGCATGCAAGTCGTGTTTCTTTTTTTTGTGCTTCTTCCGCTTTGTAGCCTTTGTAAGAATATCGAATCGTTTTGTCGCCATCAACGGCTCTCTTATAATAAATACAGTTTTTTTATATCTGCTGTGCATATTGAATTATTAAACCTCTACCTATAACAGTATAAAAGTAATACACAACAGCGAGGAAACGTTCGCTTCCCTAAATTAGAGAGGACACAGGATCCGGACCGCGCTCCTTTGGTCGAGTTTTATCCTTGTAGATCCTTGTGATAAATGGTTGAAAAACGTCACATCATAATATACATATATATGTACATGTAACAAATGTGTAGCGTATGTAATAATAAATAATGTTTATGTTAGTAATTAAAATTTACTTTTTACGTCTATTTATCTAAATAAATCTAATTTTAATTACAAAAATAAAATATAATTTTTATCCATACTGTATCACTAAACATTTTTCGGATATTTGAGACATAAGACACAAGATAGTTAATTATTTTGCGTTAATAAAAACAACGATTTAAACACAATGAAAAGAATAGGGAGCAGGGAACAAAGAATAAGAATTTCAATCTACCAGAAATCGTATACTATGGAATACATAGTTTCTGATAGGTTGAAATTCTTATTCTCTGTGCCCTGTTTCCTATTCCTTTTATTATGTTTAAGGCTTACAGTGGTAAAGTCATAAAACTTATCTTAAGATTATATTTTATAAGTCAGCCATTCTGCTTAGGTCGAAAGAAATTACACTTTAAAATCTTTTAAAGTAGGGTAAAGTAGCGTAATTTGGTCAACTTTTTTTTGGATCTCGACTCTAAAACTCGTATTTTTTCGAATTTCATGAAACCAAATAAACCGTTGGAAAAATCTAGCGCAACTTTTTCTCGAATATACCTATCTTCTATCTCATTGCAAAAAAAATATGATTATTTTCCCGAAACACAAAAAATCGAAATTTTTTTTATAACGTAATTTGGTCAACCGTATAAATCCTAAGAATTCTTAAAAAATAAATCATAAAATTAAGCTAAAACAACATATTGTTAAATTTTAATTATTTTTTAATTAATTTCATTAAAAAAAAGTATAAGAAAAGCACACGAACATTGAAATTAATCTTTCATCTGCGAGTGCTCAGAATCACAATGTACGCAGATATAATAATCGGCTGTTATGTTTGCGCATTTCAAGTGGACGGCTCGTTTGCACGTATTACATTCTATTGAGTTGAAGCAATTCAACTTTATCGGCATCTCTTTCATACAAATGATACAGAAGTCTTCTTTCGAGTCAGAAGATGATGATGATGCACCGCCCGTACAAAGATTGAATTTTTATTAAAAGATCGTCGTCGCTAATTGTTGAAAAATCGTCGATCTGCTTATCAAGCTGCAAAACATACCGATTCAAACTTGTTCTATGAATATCGTATGATAAAGCAACGCTTCGTATCGATTTTTTCTCCAATTTTATTATATTTCTTTAATGGCATTAAACAATGCAGTGAAATCTTTTGCTGGACGATCAGTTTTTCGCTTACGAAATCCCATTCTAATATTTAAAAAATGTTGAAAAATTATTTAAAAATAAAAAAAACCAAAAATGAGTCTATATGTGTTGTATATGATGTTCAGTGCTTCATCTGTAAACATGTGTGAGAAAATGCATTGACCAAATTACACTATATACAGTTGACCAAATTATACGCTAACCTTGCTTGTTGAAAAAAATGGGCGTAAAAATTTTTCCACGCACTTCACACCGAAACGCGATTAATCACATAAAAGAGAATAAAAAACCATATTATAACACACATTACCTACATCACGAAAAATCATTTCACAGAATAAAATGTATGATGTCAATTTTAATTATTTGTCAAAATTTTTTTGCTTTGTTCTGCCGAGCAAAAATTAACGCGTCTATTCAACTCTATGTCTCGTCAAAAGTTAGCTAATACAATGACAATTTAATGACATAAACGACAACTGTCTAGTGCGATTGCAGCGCACAAAAAATGTTGTTGACCAAATTACGTCATGACCAAATTGCGCTACTTTACCCTGCTTAATTACTATCCTATATATATATGCATAATATGAAAAAATTTTTACTACAAATAACATAATGATAAAAAACATTAATAAAATACATTGATTGTATACTTGCATTATTATATTCTCTTAATAATGTAATGATTTAACAAATTTGATAGCGTCTACAAAATATACGCGTAAAATATATCTCTATCCGCCTTTATCACCAACAGATTGCAATAGGAAGAAATAGGACATTGTAGTGTTCACGAACTATGAATAAAAGCAAAACAAATAAAATTAGCTTAACATGAAAAAAATTTATTAAATATTATTAATCAATATAGAGACTATCGAAAACCATTGTAAAAATTAATTTAATAATAGTTTATGAAATCAATTTTAAGTAAAGTTATCTGCTAATTAACGTAATTAAAAGAGCAATTAAAATCTTTTATTCTTCGTTTTAAATAAAGTTTATAATAGAATTATTGGACAAGTCGTTGAATTACCAGTAAATATAACTAACTAAACAAAAATATACATATACATTATTTTAATACATAATAAGGCTTCAAAGTATATAAGTTACAAATTAATTGATATTTTTTTAGACTTAATAGATATGATTAAAATATCATTTTTCGCTAAAAAATATAATTATATTAGAAAAAGGTAACCATATTTTATAGATTTTATATGTTTATAGATTTATATGTTATAGACCTCTATAACAGAAATTAACTAAATAGGCTAAATAGAATATACTAAAAAAGTATTTAATTAACTGAATTTGCATATTTACTAAAAATATATTCTTTTTCTCTTAAAAAGAAACTTATGTGCTGATCATTTACTAGATACGCATCTGTCATTAAGTAAAGCTCGATGATTATTTACCATCGTGTTTCTTACGTATTTTTACTTTTTAATTAAAACTATTATATTTTTCTTATTTTTTAAAGGTAACATATGACATTTTCAAAAAATGTATAAACATCTATTAGTATTGAGTGGTTTTGTCTTTTTTTTATACTTGCATCATAATTCACAATATTTTGAAATTTTTATTTATTCATTAACTGATGCAGTAAAGTCCTATTACATAAATTCTATTGTAAAAAAATTTTAATTTTTTTATTTGAGAAAACTGAATTGAAATTTTTTGTATTTTTATTAATTCTTGACTCTTCTATTTTTGCAAAAATAAAATATAAATGTTACTTTAAAATAGTACAATAAGATAAATGTGACTCGAGAATGTCATAAACTATCGCTCAGATTTATTCAACCGATTATAATTTAAATACTTACATTAGTAAACATGATCATATTAACAGGAGTAAAAAATGCATTTACAAACATCGGTTTTTGCATCAACAACAAAATAATATTTGTTCTCACATGACGATCAAGCCTAGAATTAATCCATTTGGAAAAATATATTCCATTACGAAAGTCCTCGCCCTAAACGTAAATATCGAAAATTAATTAATTTTGAATTATAATAATCATTTTACTAAATCATTAAAACTTACTGCATTTGCAAGGACAGTGCCATAAAATGCGTATGTAAACGTTTGAAGCAGTTTTACTAAAGATTGTGTCACAAACGCGATTGTACTGGCACGATCATCAAGGGTCATCAAGGAAAGCTATAAATATTTATTATAAGAATTAATATTAGAACATTGAATATTTGTGTAATACCACACTATAGTACAGAGTGAAAAACTTGCAAGCGAAGCGCAGATGTTTATCTTTACACTCTTAGAAATAATGAAAAAGTTATTAGAAAATGTTATATCCTAATTTACTTTTTCAATTTGACTACCAAATCAATTTTGGCATTGAATTTAATAAAAATTATATTATTATATTTTGGTAAATATTTCAATTAGGGGATCATCCTCCAATGATCTTGACATGCATGTACTGTCAAAATCATTACCCTGAGGGACCTCCAAAAATTTTTAGCCGGCAGCTATTGTTTATTACAAAATTATTAACAAAAAATGTTTCATAAATAAAACGCAATTTTTGTCATGTATTATATCTCACCTCGCGTGGAAAATCGAAAATCCATATGGAACAGTACAATTATATAGACCTCGTTTCATAAAAATAATGAATAAATACATATATCCATTAAATCTTCGCCTTACTAAATAGATGAGTCTATAATATACTAAAAATAATAGATATCAAAATGATTAGACATACCCCTACGCAAGGTAAGATGTATCCATGAATCACAAGTATAAACATGTGTTGCTTTAACTCGACATACCGTTACAAGATTGTTTTCTATTTCTACAATAGATATTAGTTATGTAATAGGCGAAGAGGAGGGGCAAAGCCTCTATACCCTTCTTCCCTGCGCCCATGCTACCTATATTGATAGTAGCGCCTAACCTCACATCGCCCTCCTGAACCTGACAAACATGTTATACTGTGTACTGAAATATATCATATTAATAATAATATTGAATAAAATTGTAGTGACTTTTTCGTTAATAATTGTTTAACGAGCGACGGCTAAAACCTTCTGAAAGTCACTCAAAGTTATATGATCTTGACAATATTTGTCAAGGTCAAAGTTAACAGAGCGATCTTTGTTCATCGGCTTATTTACCACATTTTTATTATTTTATCTTAAAAAATGGCTTTTTCATAGGAATCAGCAAAAATGTCTTTAACAGCTTTTATTTTATCCCATCATGGAGCTATTGATAGTTTCATCGAAATCGCAGGTAAGACGTTTTCGGAAGTTTAGCCTAATTTATATTATGTTTCTTTAACGCTTTTTTCCAAGTAGCAAACTGATGCCAAAAGACGACATAGAGACGTCTATGTACGGTCATTTTTTGGTCTATGACATCTAATAATAGTCGACGACTAATAATATATGGATGTTTAAAAACTTCATTTTTTAGACCAGTTATAGACATCTTGAAGACGTCTTGAAGTCGTCCGAATACGAAACTTTTCCGAAAACAAAATTACCGAAACGCGATAAATTCGCGTAACGATGTATTATTTCAAGCATGCTTAACTATATGTTCCAAAGTTCACTGCCAATACTAAAAATCTATAGCTTATGTTACATGCATTATTATTTTATTACAATAAAATCACAATTTTCACTCTACTATGTAAACACAACATATTCGCATCACTCATGATATCTATGCAGATTTTATCCATGCAGTTATGCGGCCATATTTCACGGACACAAACCACTCCGGATATAGCCAAAGCTGGCCGAATGTTACGTAGTTGTTACGTTAACTTTGTGACTGCGCACATGGTATAAATACAAGGGTATGCTCATTTGGTGGTGTACCACTGCGCATCGCAACCAGCTTACAATCTGTCACAATCGTGCAGATTCGGCTACTTTCGGTGCTCGATCGTGCTCGATGTAATATGGCTGTCTCTTGCTGTGGAGACACATGGACACAATTCAATCCTGCGAGTCGTCCATTCGGAGCATTTTTAATTTGTAAGCAAGGATTGCAGTTTTTTTTTTAATAATGGTTGCTTGTGCAATAAAAGGCTATCATAATTTTTATCGAAAAACGGTAAGAATGAAAGAACAGAAAATAAGATACTTCAGATTTCCTCGACTCTGAAATTGCTGCAAAGTGGATGGAAGTGTGCTCAAGCGAAGTAAATATGTCGCATGGTAAGATTAAAATATTGCATTAACGCATAAATATATATTGATAGTGCAAGTTTAAACAATTCAGATTAGTGTCAATATCATCATTATGTATAGAAAGGATATGTTCTAAGCACTTTGAGAGATGGTGCTATGAGAAGCCTAGGCAGCAGATGGCTTTGAACTATTCTCCTGTACGTTCACGGAAGTTAAGATTGGATGCAATCCCCACATTACATTTATTTGCGGATACGCAAGTAGCAGAAAGGTTGGAAGTATCAATGACCAAATACATTGTGTAAAGAGCAATTTATATTTAATACATTGGCGCAAAAAGTACACGGATTAATCGAGCCCATCCAAATTCCCGAAGAAGTAATCTTATGTTTGGTCAGAATGTGAATCTATATACGAGTACGTTAAATAAACCGGGGAATTTCTATTGAAAATCGAAAGAATAGAAACAAAAAAATTATCAAAATTTATTAATAAATAAATAAATTATTTATTACGTGCATATCTCTGTAATTGTTTTTTCCATTATTTGTTTCATCGTCCATTTCTCAAAAATAATTTAGATGAAAATCTTAATAGCTGTTATATACAGGATGTCCCATTTTAATCGATCACCTTAAATATCTCTTGAACAGTGCATTTTAGGAAAAAATGTTTCAGACAAAAGTTTTGAGACTTCGAGGGGGACATAAGTTGATAACATTGGTTTGACCCTGAGTGGCGTCGTCAAGGTCAGGACAAAGTCACTTTGTTTTTAAAATGGAACCCCCAATTTTTCATTACATATTCTTGTAGCACACCTCGAGAGCTTTTCAAAACGCTATAATAAAGTTATTTTTTAATAAATACTTTTCAAATTATGAAGCTTGAAAGTTACAGTACCGTCGACATTAGCATTATCCAAGATGTCCGATAGATACCTTGAGCATAGCATACCTCAAGAGCTTTCCAAAATACTGTACTGTAACTTTCAAACTTCATAACTTAAAAAGTATTTGTTGAAGAATAACTTTATTTAGCGTTTTGGAAAGCTCTCGAGGTGTGCTACAAGAATATGTAATAAAAAATGGTGGGTTCCATTTAAAAAATTCAAAGTGACTTTGTCCTGACCTTGACGGCGCTACTCAGGGTTAAACTAATGTTATCATCTTATGTCCCCCTCGAAGTCCCAAAACTTTTGTCTGAAACATTTTTTCCTAAAATGCACTGTTCAAGAGATTTGAGGTGATTGATTAACATTAGACACTCTGTATATACAGGATGATCTAGTCACCCGGAGGAGCCGGCATCTACGTATTCCTCATGAAAAACTGAGTCGAAAATGTTAATAGCAAAATGTTGAGGTGTCAATGGTTTTTGAATAGTGAACTGTTGAAACTGTCCAACCATAAGGCATTAAGAGCGCGCCGTCAGGTGCGGCGCATTAAATCGATGATCGGCCGGCGCGCGACAGATACCGCTAAACGGCACGGTGCCGAACGAATACTGCAAAGGTCGATGAATTCTCTATTAACATTTATTGCTCTTATTCTTAATTTGAGTCCAATTTAAT